TTGTATTGCTGCCAGAAAAATTATATGGGCATGTCCAGGAGTTGAGTTTGACTTGACTTTGATTTTATATAAATAGACTTTTCTGGAATGCATTTTAATGTAGCTACCCTTTGTCAAAAAAAATACTGGGGACATTTTTCTTTATTTTTACATGTCAAAGTTAAGCATTAAGCTAAAATCCCCAAAATGAAATGAATAAACTCAAATCTACAGTGCAAATGAAACAAACAAACAAACATCATGTTGCAAATTAGCAATGTTCTTAATTTTTTTACAGCCAACTGATCAAACCGGAAATTGACTAAAATTAATAGGATTTTCATGAATTATCAATTATTGAATCCCAAACTAAGAACTATATTCTTAAGTTTTTGTATTTTTGGGTACACAATAGAAATTGAATAGAACCTTTAATATTTAAAGAAAAATCTTCATATTAAACATAATTTTAAATAAATCTGTATTCTGTTTACATATATATTAGAGGCTTGTTAATTCTGCTAACATTGTACATGCACATTCCTCATAATAATGCTGACAATTATTTTGGAAATCCTAATAAAATCTAATAAAAGACCTTAATGATTAGAATTTCTGCAGTCAGCTCCCTCGAAAATTGGTTCCACCTTTCTCATTTAAGGAAGCTAATGGGGTTCACTGTGATGTGAGCTTAGTCAATCTCAGTGATATTTCAGGAAAGGTATTCAAAGGATGTCTTTTTTTTAATAGCATAACCCATAAACTGTTTCAACAGCAAATGAGAACATATAATGAAAGACTGAAATGCAAAAGCTTTTAGTACAATTTTGTTATCCTTATGCATTTATAGTTATGACATCATGTTTTTAAACATAAATCACTGCTTTTATGATGGAGAAATGTGTGCCGATCCCTATAATTTACAGCTCCCAAATCTAAAGGCACATCCAGGAGGCCGGTTCAACATGTTCTGCTTCAGCCGGTGAGGCAACAAAAAGTAGGCCAGCATAATTTGCTGTCTCAACAGCTGATCTCTTTTCTGCCTCAGTAACAAGGCTGGCAAATGGTGCTGTCTCGACAGCTTTAATGTGTGGCAAATTAAGGAAAGTGATTAGTAGATTTCCTGCCAACAGGAAAAACATTCCCTAGTCCTTCTCCCTAATATTGAATGGGACTGGGAAAAGAGGCAAGTTTTGACAGATGGGTTTAGCCTTCTGTCTGAACCTGATCTATGGGATGGATGGGGGCTTTCTGCTTCTCCTGTTTTATTGGGAAGCCCACAGTCGCTCCACAGGTCACCAATGCAGCCCCCACCTCATGGGGGAGTTACAGACTATTGCTCTCTCTCATTGTTTCCCTCACTATCACGCTCCATCTTTCTTCCTCACACAACTTTTTCCTCACCTTCT